AATTGAGGTGAATCGGAACAAGCCGGGCGTTGACACGTCGCATACACAAATTGTCCACCAAAATCAAACGAGCCATCTCACGACCGATGCCTAGCTCTCGTGCTATCTCTCTAACACTCACATGAGGATTTTTGAACACGATTTCCTTTGCCTTTTCAATGTTTTCGTCGGTGGTAGAGGTCGAAGGTCGTCCAGAACGCGGCATGTCTTCGACGGTCGTACGACAGTCCTGAAAGGCTTTGTACCACTCATAAACTTGAGTTTTCGATAAAACTGATTCCCCATAAGCCTTTTGTAGCATTCGCAACGATTCTGCACACGAAATTTCGTTCGAAAAACAAAATTTGATGCAAACTCTTTGTTCAATATTTTTTTCCATTGTTTTTTTCGCAACGCACTACTGAGGTGAACTGGTTTCAACAGCTGCCGTAAACGAACTGTCTGACAGATCGCGCTCATTTTTGGCATAGTAATTGTCCTTAATTGCTGCCAAACTACATAAACTTAAAATATCGAAAAATATACAGCGCGCGAATTTTAAATGAGAATTTCCGAAAACCTTTCGGTCACAATGTACCACTGTGCACTGCATTTATTTTGCGGGAAAAATCCTGACTTTATCAATTTTGCGTTGATATTGGGCGACAGTTTATTATTATTATATCAGTAATTTGTTAATTTCTATAATATTTTGAACTTTAAACTGAATAACAAAAGTTAAACTATATTAATTGTATGCATAATAATGTTTGTAAAATTTTTTTTGAAAAATGATCGATTTAATCAGTTTTGCCAACTTTTAGAGGCGATGCTTGAAGGGAAGATATCAACTCATAATTTTTATTTTTTTACAGTTTTCTCCTCTATACTAGGCACAACTTTTCCGCACTATAGCTTTTCGAAAAAAATTTTTTTTATTTTCGAACCAACCTAGTATTTTGTATAACTTCAATTATTAATCTTCTTTAATTTCGAGTTTGAAGATCGAAGCAGCAAAACGTGTGGCGGAGATAATAAGCTATTTGCCAGTGGGGCAATAGGTAAGGAGCGAAAACGTAGAAATTTCTTTTAGGTAGAAGTGCAAACGCCACAAAGAAAAAAAAACTAAACACTTCCTGTGTAAAAGTTGAAAGTTAATTAATTGATAAACAATCCGAACATCCCAAACAAAATCCTTCATCAATCGATGGAATCAGTTCTTGAAATTGAATAAACTGCTTGAAATTTCGTTGAACTGCCCACATGCAAAACAATTAGAATTAGTAAGGAAATAGTATACGTAGCCTACTATGGCTATAGGTGTGAGGCATACAAGGGATATGTGAAGGCTTCTGCGAAACATGAGTTAACTTTGTTTTGTAACATAAAGTCAGATTATATTATATTTTTATTAGAGTCCTACTTTAAATCTTTTTACTCTTAAAGTATTATTTTATTGTGGTTCTATGCTGCATCAATCAATCACTACATTTGTTCTAATTATTAGTTTTAATACCCGCTTTAACTGCATATATCCCACAATTTAAGGTTACAGATACATTTCACACCAATTAAACTCGACATCCTCCTGCCAATATTTTTGTATTAATTAAACAAAAATATTATTGTTGCAATAGTTGCCGTGTACTTGTTTCTGTAGTTGCAGTTGTCGGTGATGTCTCGTATCGGCGATAATTAAAAAAAATATCTTCCCAATATACACATCTCTGTCTGTATGCTATCTATAACTTGGTAAGTATGTATGCCTCTGTTTTTTTGGATGTGCGAATTGTTGTTACAAATATTATGTCATTTTTAATTAAATTTCAGCGGAAACCAGGTCCCAATTGAGGAAATGTTTTTCAATATACAACACGAAATGTTGCTGATGTTGATGAAAATGTTGTTTGTTTTGTGAATGTTTTTTATTATTGTATTTGGCATGAAATAATAATTATTATTTCTTTTTGAATATTAAATAAAATAAATCGTAATATATAAAAAAAACTTTAAAAAATTGACATAAGACCACAGATAAGATACGTGACTATATGTAAATAAGTTGGCTTAGTTCGAATTTAAGCATCCTGCGTGTATTATTTGTATTTATAGTACATATAAACTATATTTAAACCAAAGAATCTATAGTACAAAGAAGTGCCACGCTCATACAAACGAAATACCCACTTTATTTTGCTGGTGGATTTATAATAAATCCACCCAACCTCATGCAACAATGTTCGATCGAGTCACAACTGGTATGATGTTCAGTTCAAACCTATATGTGAGTCGAGTAAGGCTGACAAAAACCTGACTGCATACGTATTCAATCATACATGCAACCCTCTGTATTACATTATATGCATGTTTGTATGTTTGTTCGCTGTAAAATGTTCAAGCGATCAAACAGCATTTCAGTGACGAAGTCAAAATTGTGTACATTTGATAATTTTTTGAATTTAATAGTATAAAACAAAAGCAAAATTCCCTGTTTGCTGTTGGTATGAATTGTAGTGTAAAAACACATTACAAATTTATTTATGTCTCAAATCTAATTTTTTCCATTCTATGAAGCTTTATTTTTAAATGTTGTCCATGCGCAATGTTTTCGAAACAATATCGTAATCACCAATTTTAACATTTCAATCCGGTGTAAATAGCATTCATGCGTTTGCTCAAACCAGGAAGCATTATTAGTGGCTTTAGGGACTTCTATACATTTTTTCAATATAATTTTTCTTACTTTTCTAATATTTTTATTTTCTTTAAAATACTTTTCAAACACTTTTATATGAATCTTAAAAATATTTTTTAAAATTATCACAAAAAATCACCAAAAATTCAAACTATTAAGAAGTAGTTCCTTTTGAGGTAAAATATATGCACAAATGTGCAATAAAAACATACATATTAATATACTGCAGACTTAATGTCTCCAATATCACATTTGTACATACATAATGGTTTTTGTAGTGCATCATTTGTTGCAATAAAAAAAATATATTCTATTACTCTTTACTCCTATGATATGAGCCTTTTCAGTACAAGAAAATAAAGCAACAAAGTATATCGAAAAATTATTTGAGGGATTTCTTTACCATTTACTTCGTTACCAATCCATGTATATGAATTAAATAGACAAATAAAAACAAGTAAGGCAAAAGAAACAGGCGTATAAAAACAATTGTGGGTTGCAATGAGTTTGAACTGAACATCATACCAGTTGTGACTCGATCGAACATTGTTGCATGAGGTTGGGTGGATTTATTATAAATCCACCAGCAAAATAAAGTGGGTATTTCGTTTGTATGAGCGTGGCACTTCTTTGTACTATAGATTCTTTGTTTAAACTATATATTTGGAATTTTTATTTTTAATTTATATATTAAATAAAAGTTACTTAAAATGACGTTTTGTTTTCTTTATTTGCTGTCATAAAAGGCACTCTAATTGTTACTGATACCTGATACCTGGTATATTAACTACTTTTTTAAAGTCGTCAATATAATAGATACTTTACATATCTGATCAAAATTATCCTTCGATGAAGACAATTTCTAAGGTAATGAAATATCACTGATATAAAACTGGTATCAAAACTGGTATAAACTGGCATAAAAATGTGGTAGCGACGTTAGGTACAATAGCTTATTTTGTATGCTGCCAATGGTATGGAAAATTCTTGGTATGTAAATCACTAAGTTCTTAGTGACTATTGCTGATGTGTGTGTGTGTGTGTGTGTGTGTGAGAACAAGCATTCTCTAAATCACAAAATTGATTTCAGAGGCCACAGTACACCAAATAAGTGCATTGATTATTAGAACCCATTACTACGGAGCAATATTTCTTGGGCTTAAATGCCTGTCCTATTTAATTTGTTGCTCTATTTGCCTGTTGCAAGATCTCATTATATTATCTGAGAGTCTAAATTTCAAGAGAGGATTTTCTTTGGAAAGCGTTAAAGGACATGAACCCAAATTTATTGGTCTATAGATAGAGGCTAATATTAGGTCATTTCCTTCTTTGTTAATCATTTTTATTAAAAAAATGTGCAATATTCAATAAATGTTAGGTTATTTTCTTCTTTGTTAATCACTTTGATTAAAAAAATATTCAATGCCATTGGAGAGAAACAGAAGCTATGATATCATTAGAGATATTTAACGTAAAACACAAAATCAAATGTGTAACTACGTTCTTGGTTATTAATAATTAAATTTATTTACAAATGCAATTTTTCCCAGATAGCGATCATCGTTAAATAAGTCGCGACAATTAATAGTAGAATTACACTAAAAAACTATTGCCAAAAGTACAGTTTGTTTTCTCTTATTGAAGAATCTGCTACGATGGAACTCATTAAGAAACTTACCATATGATTTATCAACTCTATTTAAGCAGAACTTTTCAATAACATCAATGAACCCGTGGAATTTTCCTTTACCAGTGCTGCTCATAGTTTATTTTGTGTTCAAAACATCTTTGAAGAAAAAGATGTATATTTTTGCAAATGTGATCAAAGCCTACATTTTTTTAAACCTAACAGGTGGGTGTAGACGTGTTTGTTCAGATAGGAGGGTGTATAATTTATTACTGTTGCTACTAAAATCGATTTCACACAGAGTATTGCTTCATCGATATGATCATTATTTTCTATTGTATACTAGCTTTTTTACCTTATCCACCTAGTTCTAGGGCATGAAACTCTGCTACTAAATATTTTTTGATGTTATGGTAAATATTGGCTGAGAATTCCATTTATCAGCATCTTAAGAGCATGTTATAGGAAAAGGCACCCCAAGTTCAATATAGACCGAAGAGTTTAATGCAGTAAAGTGAACGATACAAAGGATAAGGATATGCACTGAACTATGGTACAATGTAAACGAATTATTAAACAACTAATCTGTCATTCTCGACACAATGTAGCCAATAAAAATAACCAAGTAGCTTAGAATTGAGTTTAAATAATTAAAAAAAGCTTTACTTGAATAAAAAAATTTTATAAATTAAAACATATTTTTTTCGGTAGTACGAACTTTCTAAATTGTGCTGGAACTGCATTAAAATGCATTGAGACATATATATGATTTTTATAAGTTTTGACACTGTGCATTTGATTTAATAAGATAATTTCTTACGAAATTTATTTAAGAGATTTATTGTGTAATTCTTTACAAATACAATAAGAAAATGAAGAGAGAAGAAAACATCGGCAGCGATATTTCAACGAAGTCGACTTCCAACAAAGTTCTAGGAGCATATCATAAATCAGTTGACTATAGTCTCTTTAAGCGTCACTTCAGATGTGGCACAATATGTCCTATCCTGAAGCGTATTTCTAATGGAGATTGCGAAGATATTTTTTCAAGTGCCGGCGTACATATTGCGAGGCAACGGTTTACACTTGTAAAGAAACTACCAGTGCCAGCAAATGACTCGGAAACTAAAGACTCTGATAAAAATTTGAAATCTTATAAAACACCCTCACTTATTCTTAAAAAGAGTAATAGTAATACAATTGTCAAATCACAGTCTATGGAACTTTTGACTGCCTCTAAGGATTCTATAAACTCCTCAAATCTTTAATAATAAATCGTTAGAGCACAGAGTCAAACTTCAAATAGTCGATATTCATTATAGTACTAAGGACAGCAGTGTAACTGTAGTGATTGAAAGTCATTACAAGGTAGCAAAGTAATTTTAAATAGAAACAATTAATAGCTTTCAAATAAAAGTCACATGACATGACATTATCTTATTCTTAACATATTTTTATTAGATGTTGAAGGAATGAACCATATATCACTACTGATGAATGCAGCGGCATGCCTCATACTAGTACAAACAAACCAAATAGAAAACAGGGAACAGGGAACAGAACTGACACCATGGATGACAGGAGTTGTTTGCTTGACTCGAAATCTAGTCTCAGATCATGATATTCACATGAAAAAACGCAAATTTAATTCAAGTAAAATACAAGTTAGGGGAAATACTATAATCTGGTTTCAAGTTCCAAGTTCCTATATTTAAAAGCACAATTGTGCGAAATTGATATTTTATAAACTATTTGGACAATAAATGTATTACTAACCAGCAATAACATTTGTTTCTGTTTGTTTCTGGACATTTCTCTTATCTAAAATATCTATAGCATCAACTATAAAATAAAGTATTATAAAAATTTGGAGTTAAATCTACATTGAGTCATATATACTAGGAATATGTCCTTGAATTATCAGATTTCAATAATGCTTGGATTGTTTAAAATTGTTTATCCAATTTGGAAGCTTTTCAATGCAATTTGGCATATTATAGTAAATGTCCAAGTCAAAACATTTCCATAAAAATTTAAATATTTAATTTGGCTATTCCGCTTAAGGCGGTATTTCCTCAATGTCGTACGCAGCTTTAACGACAGCACCGACAGCACCGAGAGTTGAAAGTGAAGAAAAGAATTGTTGAAAAATGTAAATGAACCGATCAGAGACCAGCGAAAACTAAGAAGAAAAAATTGAATAGAAAATATTGAAGTAAAATTTGGAATGATTTATGAGAATAAAGCATAAGACGCGCACAAAGTTTTGCTGGCGGATGCTCTAAAATGTGTTCGCAACAGCCAAACAGCCGGAGAGGATGGGCCTTTGCCACTATCGTGGACCAGCATGCATGTATGGGGATGAGTTGAGTCCCATGCACTTGCAGTGAAAGCACGATTATTAAATGTAAAATGCGAAAGTTAAAAATCAGTTTTCAGTTTTTCTTCTTCCGCTTTTTTTCACCGCAAAGAAAAGCAGTGCAAAAAGCTGGAGTAATTTACGTGTGCTGCAACAGACGAGGTAAGAGACTGTAAAGGATATTTTAACATACACACTTGGAAAATTTATTGGAACAAAATAAGTGTTTTGCAGACGGTTGCAATCTTGAGTGGGTCGCATTAACATATATTTTTGTGTTTCACTTTCCCTTACAATTATGTTTTGCTTTGCACTACTGTCAGAGTGTTGGGAAATTCCTTCACCACAAGTGTTCTCAGAAAATTGTTTCTATAGATATCGTTTAAATGTGTTTGAGACATTCAATTGCGATATGCACTATATGGGTTGGAGTTTCTAATGGCTTTGTGCATACACAACTGGTAAAAATGGTTTCAGTAAATAAAAGCAAATATTTTTAAATTTTTATTTTATTTGGAATGTCCAAACTTATTTTCCATTAGTCTGAAAAATTATTTTTGTTTATTCCAAGTACATAGATATCCTGGAGGAAATTCCAGCTGCAATTAATGTTACACTGCTAGTTTTAGTCGATTCTCTACTAATCTCAACTATTTCGATATCATTTACATTATTTATTTTCAAGATTATAAATATAAGATTAATTAGATATATTAACACGTTGTACAGAGTTATATTTATAATCGTCTTATCACATTATTTTGTAATTTACATGTAATTTTTATTTATAAAAAAAACAACAGTCCTTCAGTCCTTTCAAAGATGGCTAATGATAGATATTTTGCGATATCTGAAACTGGTGTACAGTCAGACCAAGAACTTACTTGACTAAATCATTTCTAATTGATTTAAATGTTTTCCATAATTAATTTTAAAGGTTTTAATTTATGATTCCATTTTCTAAAAAACGAAAAACAACAAATCGTTATCGAACTTCGGACTGATGCAGCATGTCTCTCCAGGCGTAATTACCAACTTAATCGACTTGATCATTCGAACGGAGATACGAGCTACCTCTACGCCTTCTTCTCTCAACTACCGCTTAGAATACTTTTTCGGTAGAGCATCTTCATCTATTTTTGCGACAATGAGAGTGTCATAATGTCGCGACAATTCGGTGCATTGTATCTAAGTCGCAATAAACTTCGTACAGCTTATGGTTTATTCGAATGCAGTTGTCCTCGCAAACTTGTAGAAAACCAGAGATCTTACGCAAATCGTTTCTCTTGAAAACTCCTAATGCTACTTCGTTATTTGTGACAATGTTGATGCTACTACACCATACAGAAGCATAGGTAGGATGAGCGACCTATAAAACGGAAATTTTGTTTGTCGAGAGAAAACCACCTACTAGCAATGGTGGTTTTTTATTGTTGGTGGCTCACATTATTGTTGTTCGTCATGACGGTAGCAGGATGGTTGAAATCCATAACAGATATCCGAAAATATAGCTGCGAGACACTAGCTCGGCGACTGAGCGACGCACATTTTTACAAGTAGCCGACATATTCTTCCCTTTGTTCCCATTCGGCTCTAAACCCATTATTACAGATTTTTTTTCGATAGCAGCAACGGTAGCTATAATTTCACACTTGCTATGCTCAATGCTATCGTCGGTGTAGGCAAGAAGCTGAACACGTTTCACCTTGTATAAAGCCTCGCACGGAATCATAAAGCTCGGAGAGACTCGATGCTCGATGTATTGCTCAACGTCATTCTGCAGAGTCGTGTTAAGTTTGCGGAGATACCGAGCTCAGACATTGCAACGTGAACGCGATCCCTCATAAGGCTAAAGAAATCATTTTTATGATTAATAGTCTGAGTCGATATTTGAACCACGAAATAAGCGTATGTTTAGCACACTTCAATCGGGCCTTGCGTAAATCACGAAGTGATCAATCTGGAATCGTGCTGATTGAACGGCGGATAGCCACGTTACCTTATGAATATCATGGTATAGGAATTTGGTGCTACATACTACCATTTTCGCGCCGCAGCGAAATTAATTAGCCTCAGACCGTTATTGGAGATTGATTCACGGAGCCTGAATTTTCTGACAGATTGACCAAAAATTTCTTCTCTTCTGACCTTTGCGTTAAAATTGTGTAGAACAATTTTAACGTTTCGTGTAGACGACATCTTTGGTCAAGTCGTCCTTTTCTTCAAATTAAGGTGATGCTGAAAAATTTTCCCCTGATGCGGATTGTAGAAAGCATTTCGTTCACTGGTGTGAATCGCTAGATTGATTCCAAGATTTTTTCACTAACCACAAAACCGCAACCAAATGCATGCCTATTTGCATGGCAGCTATAATAAACATCACAGTTTGTTCGTTGAGAATAGCCTTGTTCTGTTCTTCGCATTTCCTAGATGGAAGTAACGTAAGCCTTACATTTATTGAGTCCTTCAGCCAGTTGGATAGAGGCATCTTCCCTATAGAGGGTCCGAACATTTCAAGTGCTTATTCGTATATCGTTGTCTTTTAAGCGATTGCATAGGTCGTCGACGTTACTCGGTTTCCAATTCTGAGACATCCTTACGTTCTTCACTAGCGGCTGATCTTACGTAACGGGTACCAACCCATATGCACAACGCAGATTTGAAGTGCTGGAAATAGAAATTGCTGTACGCACAATTGGTTCATTATCCAGCGGGTGCCACGTGGAGGCTGTGCGATAATTTGGTTTGAGGATGACAGAGATTGCACTGGTATAATCCACCCCCTATCATACTAATAAATCATAACACAAAATCATTATAAAAAATCATAATAATATAATTTATATTATATAGGTATTTAATATAATTATGAAAATTTAATATAATTTATATTTTTTATATTGCATTCCAAACTTTCGTTAATACAATGCTTGAAATGGTACGTAACTATAATTTGAAACTGTTGTGTGATTATTTTATTAAAGTATTTAGTTATAAGATCAGCGCTATTCTTGCTTTCTCCTTCTGCCTTCGTTAGCGTCTAAATTACAACTTATGAAATACCATTTTTGTTTTTATGCACTGCAACAACTGCTGACTTTGACAGATGTCAAAGTGATGTCAGATGCAATCGCCGGTGGTTGCCACTACAAGTTATTTGAAATGAAAATTTTCATGTAGTTCTTTCAAATATAATAAAATAAAATCAAATCAATAAAGAAAAATGAAACAAACATTGCACATATATAATTTTCTACAATAAATACCGAACAAACAAAATCATACTTACAACATCGAACTCTATTATTCATGAAAAGTAGTACAAACTTTTTGTGTTTGCACGTTCATTTGTTATTCGTACTCTCCCTTTAACTTTCGCTGACGAAGTCTTCGAAGACTGGAACTACGAAAAATAAACGCAAATTCGAATACTCAAATTCTTCGGACTCACCAAAAATCAGATTTTCTCTTCAACTCCGGAGATTTCGTTGCTATCCCATTAGATGGATTGTCCGAATAGTTTGTAAAATCGAATACGAAGAGTACTTATCGATACCACTTATATTCTTTTCTATAACAGATTAGATATCTGTTGTGAATTACAAAAGAATACATTGAAATATGTACTAACTATATATAAATCTAAACCTATCAACCACATTTTTACTACATAGATTTGATTTTATAAATTATACTTTCGTTCCAAATTAGTACATATATCAGAATACAAAAACGTATGTGCGAATCAGCAATTTATATGACAGCAATATCTAAACCAATATAAATAAAATTTTTTGAATTGTCTTATATGAATACAGGGGAATAATTTCTTTGAATATCTTTATTAAAACTCATACGATGGTTGAGTTTATATGTAGTTCAATTTGGATACATGATTTCGTAAATGGTCAAGATCCACTTTCGAAAAGTAAATGTGTACATTTTTATTCAAATACCTCAAAAACTGAACTGAGGGACTTGTTTGAGTGGAGACGGACAGACAAGCTTCCTATGTTATTTTACATAGCAATCGCCTTGCAGGCCTAATACTACGGTACTCAAAGCACAACGTCTTAATACCAAACGTCAAGCAACGCCCCATTGAATAATGCATTTATTATTCCTCTGGTACCAAGTGTAGATATGCGTGCAAGACATAACTTCCATCTTGGTATGATGTGAGGACTATCTAATCCTCCGCTACAATTTGGGCTGTAGCACCCAGTGATGAATAAGCAACTCCACGCCGAATGTGAACCAAAACTGAACATTCTTTCCGCATAAATTTGGGTATTAACCACAGCCATTACGAATCCGACCTCATATGGTCAGAACAGCAATGCTGCGGGCAATCTGACCTTCGTAGTACCAGATATCCTCTGGTCAGGAGTCGTTAGTGCGGTTTCAGATCACTGCATATATA